TATTATGTGAAGCACTAAATGGTTTTAATAAATATGGACTCTTTGTTTGTATGTCTACTAAACTAAAGCAAATAAAGAGAGTAGGCCTGTTATACTGAGTGATATTAAACACACTGCTCTGCTTTCTGCACGGACCTCACAGCTGTTCTCTCTGTAAACATCGCGTTGCGATGAGAGCAGTTAATAAAATAATATCCAGGGGATGCATGCAGAGCTGTCATTGGCTGAGATAAATCCGGCCGTGCGTCACGACTCTTTGAAACATCTCTGTTCCCGGAAATGCATCCGCGAAGGAGCCGTGGAGGACCCATCAGTGTATCCTCGGTTATAGCTCCTCCAGAGAGCCTCCTCGACGCTCGATCCTCTGTCCTCGAAGTGCATTTAGAGAAATTAGATGTCCTTCAACATGGCGCGCTGAAATTCATTTCCGGGTCACTACCGGAGGACCGAGGAGTCGAGGAGTCGAGGAGGGGGATTTGATGAAATGAGAAAGGGCCACTCTCACTACCCGATCTGCAGTGCACATGTGCGAGAGAACTCCGGACGGCAACCCAACAAGGACACTTGACACAGTGGCTTTTGGCAAAGCTGAAAAATAAAACTCGAGAGAGATGAGTTATTGTTATTACAACGTGACTTCACTATTATTTAACAACTCTTTTCATTGGGTTCTTTTATTTGGGGTTAAGTACATTGTCAGAATAAATGAGAAATGGATTTAACTTCTGTTAGACAGCTATATGCCATAAATGTTTGCACAGTAAATATGTATTCAGTATGATAGCTGTCTTGTCTAACAGAAGATAAATTCATTTCTATATGGCCAACTCTCCACCTATCAGGGGATTGGGGGGTTGGGCCACGGCCGGCCATTGCCGCTCGAAAGCACTGGAGACGTTGTAGTACATATGCCAGGCCTGTAAGTGGCGCTGTAGTCTGCCACGAAAGCAGCGAAGAAGACTTCCCGCGCATGGTTGCCCTTCTGTTTATTCTCCGCTGTGGCTCTTTATCTCCCTCCCCGAGGCAAGCCTTTGCTCCTGCTGCTGTTATTCATTGCAATCCCTCCCTCACTGTAATTCTCTCCGGTTTGCCACCAGCAGATGACAAACACCCACCTCTCCTTCTCTTCCAAGGGACGAGGGGACCGTGCGGCAGAGTTTCAGTTAGATTTGTTTTCGCCGATCAACATGTCCGTTAAAGTTTAAATCTTCCGGACAAAATTAGAAAAGTGCCGGTCAAAGGTCTTCTTTGTTATTTATTGAGCTTTAAAACAAATGAATAATGACTCTATATAATCATATAAGAATAAAACACGGAGGACGGAGATCTCTTTTTCTCCCCCTCTTCTGACAGCCCAACAGCTGATCTCAAAGCACGCTCCCCTCTCCTGCAGGGGGGCGTGGTCAGCTGCAGCTCATTTGCATTAAAGCTATGTCACAGAATCAGCCCCTGCAAAAACAGGGCTGGAAAGAGCAAATAGATGCGAAATGAGGCATGGCTAAAATGCAGGATCTGTTTGTTATTTTGATTTATAGACTTTATATAGGTATGGCCCTACAATATATTGTTCAAATATAGCATGATAGGTCCACTTTAAGATGTCAAGGGAGATATATGCCTCATCATCAGTCATTAGGGGCATGCACAGCCCCAGTGTCAGCAGAAAGTAATTCAAATAATAATTCCCAAAAAATGCAAATAAATACATCTTAAAATATATTTTAAGATCATGTTTAATCATCTGATTTGTCTGTACATCTACTGTTTTTCAAGTGGTTGACCAATCATAACAAAGACAAGAAGCTAATTAACCATTTAATCATCATAAAAATATGAACCTGAAAATGAGCATATGTCCTCTCCAAAGTTGAATTTTCAGATTGCATTTTCTTCATAAGTTATTAGTTAGCATTTCTTCCGGATTGATGCCAAGCAATCATCGATCAGCTGTAACTTGGAAATGCTCCAAAGAACATTTATATTTTTTTCATAATGATTTACGATAATGTGATGACACTTGCAAATCGAGGGGTGAGAACCAGAGGGGCGTAAGTGACATTTTGGTCAAAAATGAGTTCTATATATCAAATGAAAGCTCTCGATGAGCTCTTTCTACTGCCAAAAGGGTGCAGGTGAATTCTAAACCAATCCAGAGTTATTTATCAAAAACCAAAAGACCTAACACAGAACACACTGAACTATTTGGGGCCAAAAGGACGTAAGTGCACTTACGCCCTTTTGGCCCTGAGAAATGTATTATGGGTCAAGCCTTTGGATTGCACTTGAGTCAAAATGGCTGACACCATATGTAAGCACGCTATAGGTCAACCATGAGAAGAAAGCTTTTCACTGCTGAAGAAGTGTTACGAATCTTATTTCAAGATGCAGAAGAGCTTGATGAAGAGAATGAAATAATCCAGGATTCAAAGTCAATGCTGAGTGACAAAGGAAACTTAGTTTCTACAGATCCATCTGCAACAGAAAATTCAACTCATCAGAGATCAGCACATGCATGTTCCAGTATCTGTCAACTCTTTCAGGTACTGAGCATGTGGTGCTGTACTCTGACACATGTGGTGGGCAGAACAGGAATGCTGGTTTTAGTGCCATGTGTCTCCATGCAGTCAACACCTTGCCCATCTCCATTATTGACCATACATTCATGGAATCTGGACAGAGCAAGATGGAATGTGACAGTGTTCATGCAGCCATTGAGACCGACAGAAAAAAATGGCCTTTGTACAGTTCGGAGGGTTACTACACTCTTGTGAAGATGGCAAGGAGGAACAGGCCATAGAAGGTGATTGAGCTTGGGCACAGTGACTTTCTGGATTTCAAGTCCTTCTCACAACACAACACTAGGGCTGCTCGATTATGGCAAAAATCATAATCACGATTATTTTGGTCAATATCGATATCGATTATTCATTGACTTTGAAAACATCCATTTATTGAACTTAAAAAAAGAAATAATAATAATTTGAACAGTATCTTTTTAACAGTTGATTACCCTGAACTTTAAGTATAACTCAACTGCAAAGTATTCAGCTGAAGCCACATCTTTTTTAAATTCCCCACGGCATTTGTCATATAGGGCAGGCAGTGCAGATCTGGTGAAATGATGCCGAGATGGCATCGCTTAACGCTTGTCCATAGTGTTAGCCAGTTGCTTAAACCCCTGGTTGCTAACCGTGCTAACTGGGCACATGCCTTTAGCTATGTAGAATGTGATGGCATGTGTTATATCTTGTGTCTTTGCAAGCTGGTTGAGTAGGCCTTTGCACTGTAAAGCGCATCCTTAATTGATGACTGTGATGATGGATGAAGTCGAGGGGGCACGCTCGTGAACTGTCAACAGGGGGGCGGGGGCCTCGCTGCGGGGAAACTGTGGACCTCGTTGCAAGCCAAAATCGTAATCGAGATTAAAATACGATTAATTGCACAGCCCTACAATACACGGTCTGAAACAGAACCAAAGACATAGAGGGACAAACAGTTCGTTGGCAGAAAATGAAATGGCTGCGCTACACAATTCTCAAATATGAGCTGTCCGACCAAGCTGCAAGTTGGAAAGCAGGAGACCAGAGGTGCTCATGTAATTGAACCAAAGAAGATGCACACAGGTCCACCTGGGATCACTGCTGTGAAAAAGAAAGACGTACTCACACAAATGGGAGTATCCCTCACTCTACTTCTACCAGTCTTTGCAAGTCATTCAGGCAGAGTAGGCTAGTATGTCGTTTCAAATCAATCTGAAACGTACATGATCTGCATGAACTATGCTGTTGTCGTATATAATTATATTGCTATATTTGACATATGTATGGTTGTTTTTTGTTTTGGCTCTCCTGTAAAGTTGGTCAAATGTCACTTACGCCCCTCTGGTTCTCACCCCTCGAAATGCAGTCAGCAAAATCCTTCTTCTAAAAATGGGATTTAATTTAGTTAGATTATAAATGACAAAGTACCTAAAACTTCAACCAAAGAGATGCTACCATTGATCAGCTCCATCTTCCAGGGACTGCAGGGCATCCCATAATGCCGCTCTCTTTCAAGGTGGCAGCCTGTCGAAGCTGGTTATCTGAGGTGAGACCGCCCTGAGAAAAATCGCACATCTAACAAACTGAATTCAGATGTTAAGGTTCAAAATTGCTCTGAAGACGCACACCAACCGTGAGACTAAAAACTAAAAAGACAAAAAAAGAGCCGTCTGCCAGTTCGGCTGCATGATTAAATCATCTTTACAGGCAACACTTAGCATTAGTTTGTTTTGTGCACCCACTGTACTGTACCATGATATGAAAATGCTTCGTTGTTTAAAGAAAGTTGGTCAAAGTGTTTAATAATGAACTGTGGAAAAGTGGAACTGAGATGTGTTGTGTATTCTAAGCAAAATCATTTTGTAATAGTTAGACAAATGAAAGTACCAATTTGCATCAACATTGATGGGGTTACACAATTAAATAAATAAGTAAAAATAGCATCAATAAAGACCATACATTTGACCACTTAATATTACCACAAATGTTGAATTAATATTAAGGTGGTAAAACTCTACTAAGCTAATAATAATAATAATAATAATAATAATAATAAATAATAATAATAATAATATATTTTATTTAAGGCTCCTTTCATGACACCAAGGACACCGTACAATTTGTTAAATATTCTCAGATAATATTCAAGGTCAAAACAATTATGCAGGTTGTACTCAATTGGATAAATCAGATTATAAAATAGTAGGATTAACACAATAATGCCAAATGGAACGACTTAAAATGATGCTACAAATTGTTGCCTATTTTTTAAGTTGTGTATTAATTATTTAAAGTGTAACCTGATGTTTGTTCTTCTCATCACATAAAATGAGAATGACACAACGATGCTGTTTCATGTTGGCGTTTGAGCAGCTTTGATGGAGGGGGAGGTCCGGTGAGGGAAATGTAATGATGGGCTAATCCCCTCGCATGCGTAATGAAAGCTTGTGCCAACAGCAGGGCTCAAAACCAAAGTGCCATCTGCCTGACAGACACACTTTGTTCTGACGAGAACACTGCGACGCATCGCTTTTTACGCACCACACCACCGCGGAGGTACAGCTGATTCCCAGCAGCTCTTTGACACATTATGATATTTGGAGTATTTTCACGTGCAGCACACGTTAAGGTGCTATTCTGAGCTTTTTCAGATCGATAAACACTTTTCCCGGACCTGCAGAGTAGATTTATCTCCTTCCATTGCGCGTAAAAGCTATTCGGTGCGCCAGGAGGCAAATAACCGCTTAAAGAAGTCAACTTTTTCTCTGATTTTGAGACAAATCATCAAGATGGAAAACTTTACAACAGCTCGGGAGCTGAACCACACTTTGGGGGTTTGGACGGACAACAGCCTCCAGTACAAAGTGATAAGCTGTGTGCTGCTTTTCGTGATTTGCGTTTTAGGATTCGTTGGCAACGTTATGGTCATCCTGGTGGTGCTCACTACCAAACACATGAGGACTCCCACTAACTGCTACCTGGTGAGTTTGGCGGTGGCTGACCTGATGGTGCTGAGCGCGGCTGGTTTACCCACAATCACAGAGAGCATCTTCGGATCCTGGGTGTTCGGACACTACGGGTGCCTCTGCATCACCTACTTCCAGTACCTCGGGATCAACGCCTCCTCCTGCTCCATAACCGCGTTCACCATAGAGAGGTACATCGCCATCTGCCATCCCATTAAAGCGCAGTTTCTGTGCACCCTCTCGAGAGCCAAAAAGATTATCCTGTGCGTCTGGGCTTTCACTTCCCTGTACTGCGTGATGTGGTTCTACCTGTCAGACATCCAGGAGCTGGTGTACAACAACATCACCATCATCACGTGCGGATACAGAGTGTCCAGGAAGTTTTACCTGCCCATCTACTTCTTTGATTACGGAGTTTTCTTCGTGGTGCCGCTGATGCTTTCCGCGGTGTTGTACGGACTCATCGCCAGGATCCTCTTCATCAACCCACTGCCCTCCGACCCCAAAGACAAGAAGAAGAACGGACAAAACAACCACAGCAACACCAAGAGGACCAGCTGCAAGAACTCCCGTCACTCCAGCTCCACCGCCACCTCCCGCAGACAGGTGGGTGCTGCGACCCTCATACACTGTGACACATCCTAAACCATTGAAAATATGCTGATGCTGTTTCTGAAAATGTCGGGAAAGTGCAAATACATTGTCCTTGTACTTGAGCAAGTAACATTTATAGTAATGATTTTACACATGCATAGGAATACATACAATAAAAAAGTGTATCAAATATTTGAAATTATTTTAACTTCCATCAACTATGTGTTACACACTCACAAATGCATTACTACAACGATACCATTATATGGTTTAAAACAAAAAGTATAACACTCAGGAGCCTTTTTCTCTGCATATATATTTATGTACATTTTACGAGTTACTTATCCATCCTTTTACTGAGTTGTACTATGATATTTAATTGTAATAGGATATTTTTGTAGTGTAGATTGCATACATTTACGTAAATACTCTCATCACTTTTTCCACCACTGTAAAAGACTCAAAAGAATAAAACTTCATATAATGTAACTTAACGTTATAACTAACTAACCAATTGAACAAAAATACCCGGGGGTTTGGGCCAATGCGCTTTCCTTAAGCCCCGCCTTCAATCTGCTTTGTCACGTCCAGTCTTGGCTAACGGATAGAGGGAAAATAACTGTTGATTAGACATTAAACGCATTTCACTTGAAGAACCAAATGATTTCAATAGGGCTATTCAAGTGTTCCTACTGGGTAGTTGATTTAGCTGAACAAATATGATGCACTGATTTAAAGATGTCTCTTTTGCAATGCAAGGTAACGCAGCGTCCACATGGCGGCGTGCGTTGAAGCTTGCTGGCGGGCGTGTCTGATGCTCGACCAACAACCAATCACATGAATCTCCCGCCCGACATATGATTTGATTGGCTAACGCTTCCATCGAAGCTTCAAAAGTTGAACATTGCTTCAACGCACGTGTGTAGGGGCCGTTGCGGAGCTACACACGGCGGCGTGCGTTGAAGCTTCAACGCTTCTGCCCATTCACTTTGAATGGGGTGACGTCACACTTTGCCGAACTTAATTGTTTAACTTAATTAAACTTTAATTGCTTCAAAAGTAGAGCAATGTCCTACTTTTGAAGCTACGACGGAAAAGTCAGCCAATCGAATCATATGCCAGTACAAGCTCTAGCCAATCAAACCGCGTGCTTGTGTGTCTGGGGCGGGAGATTCATGTGATCAGACAAGCCTGCCGGCAAGCTTCAACGCACGCCGCCGTGTGTAGGCATTGTAAGGGGAAAATGTATTTTTGGGCTCAAATTATATTTTGTCTGACACGCTCGTTGTAGTATCACCGTTTGGCCACTGGTTCACAGAGGCTTGCTATACAATAAGGAGTTTTATTGCAGCAGCAGTTCCTATTTCTGCGTGTCGCCCCCTACAGGTGACCAAGATGCTGGCTGTGGTGGTGTTCCTGTTTGCCACGCTCTGGATGCCGTACCGCACCCTGGTGCTGGTCAACTCCTTCCTGGACCGAGCCTACCTGGACAGCTGGTTCCTTCTGTTCTGCCGGATCTGCATCTACCTCAACAGCGCCATCAACCCAGTCATCTACAACGCCATGTCTCAGAAGTTTCGCGCCGCTTTCCGCAAGATCTGCGGCTGCGGGAGGAAAGGCTCAGATAAACCGGCCGCCTACAGCGTGGCCCTGACTTACAGCGCGGCCAAAGAGACGTCCATGGTGGAGAGCATCGACCCCTTCACCACGGAGCTTGAGGAGCTCACGGCCACCGACGATCTGCTGTCTGATCAGAAGATGATGTTCCCCGACCCCTGCGTGTACGAGAAGGAGAATTTCAGCGACGCCTGAGCTTTGTTTGCGGAGGGTCAATCAAGAATTTGAAAAAGTTGACTAATGTAGTCCGTTGAGTAGAATATGGTTTCCTGAGTGCCTGCTGACCTTTTCAGAGCCAGAGATGTAAACACAGATTACAGCCGCTGATGCGTGATGACAGTGTTTGAGGCACAAAGCCCAGAATGATGCCGGACATTGTGAAGCAACAAACACGGACAGATAAGCACCCTCTTATTGCACAGCTGTTATCTTATCCTGGACCTACCCAAGTAATAAACTGAGAATGAGTCCACAAAACATGAATGTGAACACAAAATTCTCACTTGAGATGTACGGTGTAAATAACTCCAATACCCAGAAATCCTGCAAACTGACACGTTTACCATCATAGCCGCTCAGTGATGCTCATACCAAAGAGATGACAGAAGCAAAGAGAAAAAAATGCAGAATTGAAGGAGTTGAATTGCCTCTTCATGTCACGATTTACCATTATCCAAGAGTGAATTGACTGCACTGTTCATGCTGAATTTCAGGAAGGGTGTTTTTCCTCAGATTCAGTGTGAAGAGAATATATTTTCACACCAATAAAACACCTCACCCGGTGCAGCTTTAATACCTGTATGCTCCTTGATGTTTTCAGGGCAGGCAGCCCATTAAAGGGTGAGTCACACCTGAAGCTTCATGGACAGAACTAGCTCTATTATTATTGTGAAGGACTGCGTGCGTGACCTCGAACAGGATGAGAAAACCGAGACAGACTGTACTGAGTTTGTTCAGGAGGACCGGGTACAGTCTTTATATAAAGCTCTCCTGAGGCTTTGTTAAGATGTTCTTTTGCAAAGCGATCACTGATAGAGAGGGGAACCAAGTTCATAAAGTGCTCTGTAAATTAAATGCAAAAAGTGCCATAATAAAGTTTATTATGTGTTGTTTCCACAGTAACATCCAGTTTCTAAGGCATATTTTATAATATGTTATTACGTCATTCGCAGGTACAAAAAAATCCAACATTTTATAATAAGACAAATGCAAGAACAACCTTTAGTTGCTGTTTATCATTCAGTGTGAATAGATTTGCCTTACGTTACTGTATATCAGCCTGGAAATACAATTGTGTCTGTTTACTTGAATATGTGCCAATGCCATAATGAATGATATATTATATATAGTGTCTGTGAGGAGTTACAAGTCGCTTTAAACTGGTTAGAGCAAATATACCACTCCATCCAAAAAGAAAATTAAATATACAAGTAGAACCTTTATTGAATAACAAAAGGGTGCAAAATAGACACCAAAATCTATTAATTCATCGATATTTACAACTATTCAATGTGTTGAAGTTTGCACCTGAAACCACACCCACCTGTGATGTCACCGTGTACTGGCAGTACATTGTGACATCACAGCAGCGAGGTGTTTGAAACCACAAAAATAAGACACTCAATTCCAGTAAATAACAGAAATACTACAAACAGATAGCTTTGCCTCTTAGCATGTTCAACTGGTATTGTTTTTGGTGCCAGTCATTTTCCTAAGAACTGCCAACAGGGTGGGACGTGTGCCAAAACAAACAGCTCAACAGGGACTTTGATAACATAATATCTGTCCATTGATTTGTATTTAAACAAACAGATTGCTGTTAGTAACCTGGCTAAAGTAAAACAACCTACAGTATTAGTACCTACACAGGTTTTGTTACTTACAGAGCTAGCTTAGTAGAAAGAACATTTATTTCCTTCTTTGCCTTAAGCAGGGCTATTTAGCCAGGTTGCGTTCCCATAGTCAACATTACCCTGGATGTTGCTATAGGAACACTTAGGACTATTATTGTGAAAGGGAGTTCCTGACCTGGAGGCAGAGAGAATTGCAACGGAAACCAATCTAAAATCTGATGGTGTCATTATTCTACAACCATAACATTGTGCAACATTGACTTCATAATGATAAGTTAAAACAAAATTGTATCTATTGCTTCTTTAATGGATGTATTTATTAATAATTTAAAAAGAACAGTTATTTATCTCAGCTTTCTAATAGTTCACAGTTGTAAATGTAAATAAACGACAGCCTTATACACATTTATAAAATATGCCTTATTAAATGATGGTACTGTAAAGCCTTCACATTTGAAATCATTTGTCTAGAATTCTCTCTCGGAAAAAATAAGTGTTTAATGTTTATTTGAGCAGTGGTGCAGCCTAATTGCTTCACACAGTAAAATAATGTATATACAGTAGCGTTACAGATTAACATAATATATTTCTGCTGCAGCACCAGCTCCATCAAAGTGTTCACATTGAAGTGAAGTGAATGTGTGGGTCCGTACTTTGTATCATGTGAACTGTGGATTTAACAAACCGTGGCTCTGCTGTTTGGCTCTGTAGTTGTGACAGCTCTCAGTGAACATGGCTGATGGACGTGTGATGCTTCAGACATGAGGCTGTGTGTGGGGAATGTAATTGGGCTGCAGAGGAAGACGAAGCTCTCGTGTACCAACACTGTAAATGTCTTTGAATATTAGAGTCATGCATTAGTGTGTGTTGCCTGTGTATTTGAATTGTTATTTATGGTGACTCTTCTGTTTGTCAGGCAGAAGCTATCTGTATATTATTCTCTAGCTTTTGTTATTGCCCATTAAAATGATATGTAATATTCTGTGATTTTGCTGAATTTGGAAGCTGCTGCCTTGGTCTTGCTTTTTTAGAGAAATGTGATGCAGTGGGTATGTTTGATGGTTATATAGAAATTGCAAATTTGTATATTTTATGTTCCAAATAAAGTTGTTTCTATTAAATTATATGATGTTTTTACACATTTCTGGGTACAGAACTGTGCATTTTGGGACATAACATCTAATTTTTTATTATAAATGAAACTGATGACATGAGCATCCAAGATTTGTATAATCAACTGTTCCTTCTGCTCATTGTATCTCTTCACCAACACCCACACTGAGCAGGTCTGGGCTGTAGTCAAAGGACAGGCAGGAGAACATTCCAAAGAACAAATCCAAAGTGTCTGAAATTACTTTTCTTTCTTGGACATTCATTAAAAAATACTCCTTGCAGCCAAAATAAATGTTTTCCTTATCAAATTAAAGATATCAAGTGCTACACAAATATGGCGTTAGTGCACCAGCTATACGTAAGGTGGTCAGAAACCTTCTCTACACATTCATGTCAGAAAAACAACTCCAAACAAATGCTGATGTTTCTCTGTATTGGACAGATGTATAAATAGTAACGTTGGATATAATAGGACGTTGATATAGGCCTTTTTCAACTGCTATGTACCTGTTAAAGTCAATTAAATGGATCCTTTCATTTGTTTTACGTCAGCTGTCAAACAGGTATTAATATTTCAGCTCAGGGTGAACGTCTCCTGCATTTAGCTTTCATGTCTGGTGCTTTCATATAGCCCCCCCTTCCAACATTTACATAAACACTGCACTTCTCAATAAATGTAAATTGTGCTTCCATCTACAGCGCATCGGCCAATTTAAAGTCTGAGAACAGTTTCAGTTAACTGCTAATTTACTGCCATAGCGGAGGCTTTACTGCGTGAGTGGAATTTCAAAAGGCTTCATACAATTTCTCTGGAATGTAAATAATGTGTTGACGTGTGCCAGCCCACAACGTGTGCACAGATGCTGCTCTGCTGTCGGCTCAAGGTTCAGATGTGAGACAGTCTATAAAACACCTTAGAAAGAGACTGCAAGGGCGTATGGCACTCTCAACTCTTTCCAGGACATGCCGGGGCCCTGCCGGCCCTATCTGTGTTGATAGGTAATAAATTAAGAGCAGTGAATCATCTTAGAAACAGGAAGCGCTCAAACGTTTGTGTGAGTTTATCTAATTTAGCAGTGATTCCATGTCAGCCACAGCTTGTTACAAAAAACATGACTGATAGTGTGTTTAATAAACTTAAACTAGCTTTATTAAATGTCAGGTCTTTGGCAGGAAAAACATTTTTAATCAATGATTTTATCACTGAGCACAATCTCGATTTTATGTTTTTAACAGAAATTTGGATTGAACAAAATAACAGTGCAGCTGTTCTTATCGAATCAACCCCTCCCAACTTTACTTTTATGAGTCAGGAAATAATGCATAAGAAAGGGGGTGGAGTTGCTATTCTGTTCAATGATTCCCTTCAATGCAGGAAGACATCTTATGGAAACTTTGATTATTTTGAATATGTGGCCCTTCAGCTGAAATGCTCCTCTCGAGCTCTGTTCCTAAATATCTATAGACCACCCAAATACTGTGCAAGCTTTTTTGATGACTTTACTGAACTGCTGTCTATAGTGTGTATTGACTTTGACCGTCTAGTCATTGTTGGTGATTTTAACATCCATGTTGACAACCCCCAGGACAGAGGGGCAAAATAACTGTTTTGTGTTCTTGATAGCTATGGACTGACTCAGCATGTGACGGAGCCCACGCACAATAAGGGGCACACTCTGGACTTAATTATCTCAAAGGGTCTGAATATCTCTAAGGTTGTGGTGACTGATGTTGCACTCTCTGACCATTCCTGTGTTTTCTTTGAGAGCTCTATTTCTGTTCACAAAAATGTTCAAAAAGAGGTAACCACAAAGCGATATTTAACTGAAAATACTAGGGAAATGTTTACTCAGAATTTTTCTTCCACACTTGCCCCTGCTAACATCTCAGTAAATGAGCTAGTAGATCATTTTAATTCAAAAATTAAAAATGTTATAGATGCCATTGCTCCAACTAAGGTAAAGGAAGTGTCTGGCAAGAAAATATCTCCATGGAGAAAGGCCATGACCGTGAAAACAGAAAAAAGAGAATGTCGAAAAGCTGAACTTAGGTGGCGAAAAACAAAACTCCAGGTTCACTTTGAAATCTATAAAGAGAGACTTGGCCTTTATAATTTGGAATTCAAAAACGCACGACAATCGTTCTTCTCTGACATCATTACCAAAAACAAAAACAACGCACGTGCCTTGTTTGCTACCGTCGACAGACTAACTAACCCCCCAGTGTCAGTAGCCTCTGAATTTCTATCCACCAGGGCGTGCAATGATTTTGCCTTTTTCACTGACAAAATTCAGAAAATCAGACAAGCAGTCAGTGCCTCTGCATCAGGAACAGCAAATGTGTCCCTATGTCCACCTAACATCAATTCAAACACCATGACACAATTCCATCAGATTAATGATAAAAACCTAGAGGACATTATACAACTTCTGAAATCCTCCTCCTGCTGCCTTGATATTATTCCAACAGGATTTTTCAAAGATGTTTTTCGTTGCATGGCCTCAGATCTACTTCATATAGTAAACAAATCTCTTCACTCAGGTATTTTTCCACAGGCCCTGAAAACTGCAGTCATTAAACCACTCTTAAAAAAGAATAATCTAGATGCTTCAGTAATGAACAATTACAGGCCCATATCAAACCTCCCATTTCTAGGTAAAATCATTGAAAAAGTTGTTTTTCAACAGTTGAGTAATTTCTTGCATTTAAATAACTGTTTCGATGTGTTCCAGTCAGGCTTTCGTCCAAACCACAGCACTGAGACTGCTCTTGTAAAGGTCTTTTAATGACATCCACTTAAACACAGACAGTGGCAGAACTTCAGTGTTAGTATTATTAGATCTCAGTGCTGCGTTTGACACTGTTGACCACAGCATATTACTAGACCGACTGGAAAACTGGGTGGGACATTCGGAAACAGTTCTAAATTGGTTTGAATCCTACTTAAAGGACAGAAAAAACTTTGTTTCTATAGGTAAATACACATCTGAGTTGACAAATATGACATGTGGGGTTCCTCAAGGCTCCATCTTGGGGCCTCTTCTCTTTAACATCTACATGCTACCACTGGCTCAGATAATGAAAAACAACAAAATAAGTTACCATAGCTATGCAGATGACACACAAATCTACGTAACAATTTCACCAGGAGACTATGCTCCAATTCAAACACTGAGTAAGTGCATTGAACAACTCAATGACTGGATGTGTCAGAACTTTCTCCAATTAAACAAAGATAAAACTGAGGTAATGGTTTTTGGAGCCAAGGCAGAACGTATAAAAGTTAGTGCTGAGCTTCAGTCTGCAATGTTCAAAACAACAGATAAAGCCAGATATCTAGGTGTAGTCATGGACTCTGACCTGAATTTTAACAGTCACATTAAAACAGTTACTAAATCAGCCTACTATCACCTGAAGAATATATCTAGGATTAAAAGACTAATGTCACAGCAGGATTTGGAAAAACTTGTCCATGCTTTTATCTTCAGTAGACTCGAATGGTGTCTTCACAGGTCTCACTAAAAAATCTATTAGGAAGCTGCAGCTGATTAAGAACGCCGCTGCTCGAGTCCTCACTAACACTAAGAAAGTGGATCACATCACTCCTGTTCTGAAGTCCTTACACTGGCTTCCTGTGTGTCAAAGAATAGATTTCAAAAATACTGCTGCTGGTTTATAAAGAACTGAATGGTTTAGGCCCAAAATACATTTCTGACCTCCTGCTAAATTATGAACCATCCAGATCTCTCAGGTCTTCAGGGACTGGTCAGCTTTCTGTCTCCAGAGTCAGAACTAAACATGGAGAAGCAGCGTTCAGTTATTATGCTCCAAATATCTGGAACAAACTCCCAGAAACCTGCAGGTCCGCTGCAACTCTGACTACTTTTAAATCCAGGCTGAAGACTTTTCTTTTTGTCGCTGCTTTTAATTGAACTATTCATATCTTAGACTGCACTGTAACTTTTATCCATGTATTTTTTCTTTTAAGGTTTATTTTATTAGCTTTTCTTTTTAATGACTGATTTTAAATGCCTTTTTCTTAATGTCTTTCATTTTTTGTAAAGCACTTTGAATTGCCTTGTACGGAGCCCCTAAAGGGACATGTAAAAAAAAAAAAAAAACAGAGAGAGAAAAAAAAAAGTCAGGATAACGAGTTAGTATCTCGTGCGCACGAGAACGTTTCTCTAACTCGTTATCCTGACTTTTTTTTGTACTAACTCGTGCGCACTTTTTTTTGTTGAGAAAGTTACCGGTGCGCCAAGGAGGAAGTGAAGCGCACAGGAGACAACCATTTCATTGCAGACTGTTATGTTTACGTGGGGAAATGACAGTGCATACATTATTTGAGATATATATCGTACTTAGACGGCTAGTGACGGGCGGCCCACTTTGGTACCGGCCCAATGGGATTCGTCCCGAACGTCCCGATGGCCAGTCCGCCACTGGCTCTGTGTGTGTGTGTGTGTGTGTGTGTGTGTGTGTGTGTGTGTGTGTGTGTGTGTGTGTGTGTGTTCTGAGTGTTTGTTTCCCTATAAAACAGCTGCGGGCAGCAGGTACTCTGAGAGTCACGGACATTAATTCGTAGATCAAAGCAGACTGGTTTACAGACTCGCCAGTGTTTTGCCAATCCGGTGCTTAAACCAATAGCTCTACACCCCTGGCCGAAATGTCCATAAAATTAAGTCTGACTTCAAAATATATCTCAAATAATGTATGCACTGTCATTTCCCCACGTAAACATAACAGTCTGCAATGAAATGGGTTGTCTCGTGTTCCACTTCCTCCTTGGTGCATCGGTAACTTTATAAAAAAAAATAAAGTCAGGAAAACGGATTTGTTTCTCGTGTGCACGAGAACAAATCCGTTTTCCTGACTTTATTTTTT